AAATGCCAATGATTGGAAAAATGCAGTTTTTATTGCGAATGAAGATGAAGTTAATTGGGAATCCTTTGCTCTTCACATTTCTCCCTGCATTTTGACTGCTCATAAGGTTGTCTACATATAGCTACCAATTGTTGTCATCATTGTACTATTTTGGTAGAAAGGATATATACAGTAGCGGATATATATTACAGTAGCGGACTCGAGCCCCTGCCGACCCAAAGGGTCCTACCTTTGTACTATTTTCAAATATCCATTTTTGCTGACTGAACTTAAAATTTTTATACAGTCGCCTTCGGCGCCAATCTACACTAATTGTCAGGGGGGATTGTGCGCCGAAAAAATACAATTTTCTGATCGAAATTTCCAAAAGTGCCTTTTTTTGGGTTTTTTCAAAATTTTGCCTGCGGCGCAGAAAAATTGGTCGAACTAGGGTCTTTATAGTGGTTGGGGAGAGCTCAGAAAATCAATTTTATCGACCTAAAAAAAAGGTAGAAAAAATGTTCAAATTTTTTTTTTAAAATCTGCCCCCTCAAGAAATTCCTAGATCCGTGCCTGTATATATATATATATATATATATATATATATATATATATATATATATATATATATATATATATGAATTTCTTAGATATTTTTTTAAAAAAAGCAACAAACGATTGTTGAAAACAAATTGTAATTTCAATAAGTTTTTGACAACTCCTGGTTCATGAAGAACAAAACAATGAAACAAAAATTTACTGAAACTTGACTGAAAATAAATCATTTCATGCTTATTTTTTTCACAATTTGTGTTTATCAGACGCTGAAAAAACAATGGGGCTTGTTGAACTTTTTTTAAACTTTAGGGACTCTTCTTTCTGCTGAATTTAAAAGCAATTTTTTCTTAATAAAGATTGATGAATTTAGATTAAAGCTCAACAAGTCAGCTTGAATGTTTTAGACTGCCAAAATCAAAGATTTGAGCTTGAGTTTGTGCTAGAATTTGTGCTACAAGTCGTGCTTTATACGGGAGTTGATATGACCTGTAAGCTTATCTCGTTTAAAACTTGAAACAAAGTCGAGCCCGGGATAGTTACAACGCAGCGTTTTTCATAATCAGAGCATAGATTAGCGCATAAGTTAGTCCAGAACAGGACCAAAATGTCAGCTTTCAAACCCGAAAAAATTTTCAAAAAACTTAGGTTTTTTTCAATTTTTAGCTCAAGGAGAGAAATAGCCTCTGTTAAGAATTTGAAAAGTATTCCGGAGTAAGAATTCCTTAATTTTTTCATCATTCTCACCGCAGACTTGATGTCAATTATCTGATTCGTATTAATTGACATAAAGATGTTAATAGCGCAAAATATATCGCATGTTGATTACCTTAAATTGGAAATTTCAAACAAAATTGTGATTGTACAAGAAGCCGCCGAAAGTTGGTGGATAGAAAAATTAAGTTTTTGTTTTAAAACTACCGGTCTGATCCGTGCTTTAGATCGTAGTCCGCAAACTCACGACAAAAAGTAGTTCGCTCTTAATGGATCTATGCCATAGGTCGTAGTACAAAAACTCACAACAAAAACAAATCGAAAATTACAAAACTCGCATTAACTTGCACGACAGTTTGCGAAATAATCAACGCCGCAGTCGCGTTGATTTCGATGAAAATGACCGATTATTTGTGCTCGGATGTGCTTTTCTCCAGTAAAATTTTTAGACTATTTTTTTTATTTCATTTGAAAACTGTTGTTGTCCTGAGCTCAACTTTAACAAAACTGCTCTTATCAGGGCAAACCCCTAAAAGCTTCATCTGCCATTTATTTGGTCTTAAATAGTTTTCGGTGAATCAAAAATTGGTAAAGCTATTATGTTTAGGCTGATCATGTTAAATATAAGTGTTGCAATTTGAGTGGTGTATGCCATTAATAAAACCAATGAGCTGCTCCAGTTCATTTCGGAACGACTTTGTAGTGCCACATATGTAAAATGAAAAACATAATTTGCCACATGTGTAAAATGAAAAACAAGCAGCTTGACCAGAATAGCGGCAGGTTCGTGTAGTGGGATGCACATCTGGCAGAGACCATGCAGATGAAGAGAGGGGAAAAGCTTCACCTGTGATCATTATTCGTTACGTTATGCGGGTTTCAAGATTTCAATTTTCAATTTGAGACAATTAATTTTGAAATGTTTTCAGTTTGAGACAATTAATGCGCGATTTATTTTATGCTATTAACGCGTATGCTGAGATTTAATCCGTCTTAGAAATCGTTCCAAAGTGCGTTGAGGCATACTCTTGGTCGAGCCAAAACTTTGCTATATGCAAAATATGGCGGGTGTTCAACAAATCCCCATATCTACAAATCGCCCAATCTTGAAGCCAAAATTATATCAGAAATATGTAAATTTCATGAGAACTACTTAAAAATGGCGTAACAACAGTGACAATCTGTTGTCATGTTGCGTAACAACATTAATTTTAGGCTTGTTTGCATAGTAATCGCATTTTCGGCTTTTGGCCTTTTACCGCAAAATATATCACTTTGTACTTTACAAAGCGTGTGGGGGGATTTTTTATGAAAAAAGACGATAACAAAAATTTGAAATTTTTCAATTTCATTTTGAAAGATTCATCATTTATTTTAACTTACACTACTTCAGAAAAATTAAAAATTAAAATGCAGTCGGAACCATCAGTGGCCTGATAGAGCATTCTTGTTCAATTTGAATAGTTGAGAGGAGAATTATCTTAACTTGATCAGGAAGTTAACACGGCGTAATTGAAGTTTTCAAAATGCTATCACACTAATTCTTAGGGGATGTGTTAATTTTTTTCACGCTTCTTTGATGTTTGCAGAATCCACGACGTACCAATTCAACCGTGGCTTCATCAAGTACACCTATGCCCCTTCATCCCAGAGAGGGGTCTCTTCGGAGGAGAAAATGAGTGTGCGTCCTCGATCCCTCACCAGTCCGGCCAAAGACAGTCTCGCCCTCGCCTTCAAAACCAGACAAAGTGACGCCACTTTATTCGTAGTTCACAGCAGAACTACAGACGAGTTCCTCAATGTCACACTCGTACGTTTAATCCCCTTAGTATCATGTTTTCTATATGGGACTTTGACGGGATCTCTTTAACATCCCCCTCTGTTAGCAAAAATGAAGAGATTCGCTGCTACGTACAAATATCTCATATGCTTAATTGTTGTTTTTTTTTTAAAAAAAACGGGGGGGGGGGGGTTGATAATTCAATACCAGATACTACAGGAGGGACTAGTTAAAGAGCTCTCTCTGGCGCGGGTATTTTTTTGAACTATCGATCTCTAACCAGTACTCTTTAAAAGTATGAAAGTCTAAAAGTAAAAGCGCGATCTCTTCCTGGTTCTTCAAAAAAAATTGTGTTAACGGTCGAAACACTTCGTTAAATAGCTGCTCGAAATGCATTAAAATTGTTTATTGATTGAGAATCTCTTCTTTTTCAGTATGTTAAACTTTGAGACTCTAGATTTAACCACTTTGCATGTCAAAAAATCTTTTCAATATAACCTCTACATGCATCAAAGATTACAACATTGCTCTCTTTATCCTATGTGATTTTTTCACTTCTAATAATAAATATTTAAAGTAACCAACAAATTTTAACACCATTTTAATAACTTGCCTTCGAGTCTTCGTTTTTTCACTCTTCTTCACTCATTTACAACCTGTGGTACAACCTCGCGACATATGCTACCACTGCCATCTTATGATTTTGAAGAAAAAGAAAATAAAAAAAAACATCATTTTACCATGTCTATTACAAGGAGTTCATTTTTTCTTTTTTAAATGTTTTTTTTTCATTTAATCGTTTGTTTTTTTTTCTAATCGTCACATTGTTTGTTTGCTTTCAGCGCAACGGATACCCTTTCGTGTCGTATCGAGTGGGGAGGGAGATCCACTACGTGAAGGATCCCAACTTCTACCAGGGCTTTAACGACGACAGACGTCACTCGCTCCTTTTCCAGCGCCTGGGTCCCAATGCCACCCTCCGAATGGACAGCGGAACCCCTTTCCAGTACACCGCCAGATACGGTTAGTTAGAGACATAATATGGATTGACGTCCATACAAGAAAAACGCCAATCATACAGTTTCCTACACGGAGTCTATGAAAAAAGTTATGCTTAACAAACGATTATAATAGAAGGAAATTGTTTGATAAGCATTTTTTCAATAGAAATTTTCGTTATATAGTTTCCGTTCAAAAAATTATTGCAGAAAGCAGGGGCGGATCAAGGATTTTATAAAGGAGGGGGGGGCGGATTTTAAAAAAATTTCCGAGTTCTCCTAAAGCACTAAAAAGACCAAAAAAGCGTTTTTAGGCATTTTTTGGAAAATTTTGACCAAAAAATTAAATTGAGCGTTTTCGGCGCAAGCCTCAAACCGAGCGTTTTCCGAAAAATGAACGGTCGGAGAAAAATTTACGGTCGGTCAACCAAAAATGAAAATTTTCAAAAAGTACCACAGGGGACCCTTTGTGCCGACAGGGGGTCAAGTTACTGAAAAAAACAACCGCCCACCACCCCCCCACCTCCCGAAATCAGCCGTTGTCTTTGTGAGTAGCATTCTTTTTGCGAGCTGCGGCCTGATTGCTGAGAAAAACAAACGAAAATATCTACCAGGAAACGTTTTTTAGGGAGTGCTCCTCATGGATTTTAGTAGACTTTGGCGCTCAAAGTTCAAATGTTCAAAATGTTGTACTTTGTTTGAATGTTTAAGTTTAAATTTAAAATTAAAAATGGATATCTCAAATTTTGCAAAGTTTCTACAAGAGATTTATCATCTTCGAAGTATTCGTAAAAGGTACTGCATAATCTTAATATAGACAGCCCAATTTGACCGACAAAGAACAAGACATCCATATCTCAGGCTAAACTCAGTTTTTGTGTTATGCACTTATGGACTGCAGCAGCTTACTAATTGTAAAACTAAAACCGACTATATGATCTTATTTCCGAGTGTTGTAATCATCAACAATCAGATGATAAGTACTTTTTTCAAGTACGGAATTTCGTTATTCAAAAAAATCTAATTGCAATCTCGATTTGAAAAAGATAGACAAAAACAAAAAAGAAAGTCTGCGGGCTTCTTGTTTAATCATCAAAACTTCACATATTTTCTCTTCAACATAGCATAGACATCTGATATAAAAGTACATTATCATTAGAAATCAGCTTATCGGCCTCTTAGAGCAAAAATTTTCTAACTTTCATCAATTCTGGAGAGACACGTTTTCAAAAACAGTATATCAGCAAAACTGTGCACATATTTTACTGCAAACCTGTGAACATATTTCATTTTGCTTCAATTTCTGTAAATATATTGGTTCAAAACCTATAATAATGTTTTCGATTTTTTCTTTAATTTATTTCGACCTTACTAAATCTTAAAAAAGCACAATTTTGGCTAGAAAAATAATAATCGATTACTTTAATTCCCTCGTTAATGCCATGCTGTTTCGAAACTAATCATTTCATTTTTTTTATTTTGAGGTGACTTAAAAATCACAAGACAATTCGTGCTTTTTCCCTGTTAATAAGCTGTCAATCATTCACTAGTTTTTTGTTGCGACAATTTCAGTTTTGGCTTTGGCATCTTTCTAATAAATTAAATCATAAGCAACCTTCTAATTATGTGAACCAACAAAAACAACAGTTTGAGATAAATTACAACCCACAGGGTTTTTCTTTTTATAATTCAGAAGCGTATGAATGCGATGTGTATCGAATAGCATAAAGTCTGCACTAGTTTCAAAAAAAAAAACAATCTATTTATAGAAAAAACATAAAACAAGAAGATGGGCTATAATGAACACTTTTTGTAGCTTTTGTACAATTTGGATGGAAAATTCAGCCTGGGCAAGGCTATACACAAATGTTTGGCGCAAAAGCTTCTATAACGCTAATGCAAAGGGCGATTATATAATCAGCAAATTTTATTGTAATGATTGATTTTTTTCCTGTAGGTGGGGAATGGATTGAATTTTGAAGTATGACGTTAGAGTGATTCTTTGGAAAATGTGGTATACAATATTGAGAGAAAAGCTGCAAGCCAATTGAATTGCAGGTTTCAATTAATTTTTCTCATTCGGTTTTGAGAAGTAGTCACTCTTTTGTTTTTAGTCAGAACTATAAAGTGTAGAAACCTTTTCTATGAAGTAAGGTTCCCTTGCCATTCGACCTTTTGTCATTTTTACTTTAATTCGATTTCTACATTTTAGCAACAATGGTTCCGACAGCAATAAAAGCTTCAAAAACCGGCTTCAATTAAAGGAAAAAGCTTTGTGTTTTAGGCTTTGAGGTTTTTCCGATTTTCAATTTTTTTAATGTTTCTTTGTTTTTGGCCCGATTTTTTATGTTTGTTAGTTTTTCATAATAACTTTACACAAAATGTGTTTATTTGTAATTCAATTTTTTCTATTTATGTGTCGCAAATGAACGTTTAACGACCACAGAATAATAGTGCATAGGGAGGGGCATGGGTTAAATAGGTTTGCAAGAAATGACTCATGTGGCAAACCAAAAAGAACTTCTTCGACTTCGGTATTGTGCTAGATCCATTTCAGGCAGATCAACTCTAAAAACTTTTTGATTGCATCCTTGCTTTTTTTTAACCTTTTTTACTTCGTAAATTCTCAGAAGAGAGTTTCTTGTCAAATGGAATGTAAATATACTCTTAGTTCTTGGGTCACTATCTTTTATAAACAGATGGTTTGATACAATCTTACTAAGAAATGAATCTCAAGGTCTTTTAGATCACCTTTTTTTGTAATAGTCGAATTCCTCACTATGATGCAATTTTTTTAAAATTCAAATATTTTATCTTTCAACCGGGACTCTAAATACGCTTAACATGGCATGGAGCATTCATATTCATTATGTTGCTATCGCGGGCTCGATATGTTATGGAGAGTCTTCGGAGGAGCCTTTAGTGCAGTGGAACGACTAGAGCGAATTTTGTGGTGGATCGGTGCAAAGCAAGAGAGCTTTTATGAGGTTTATATTGAAATCAACAGGAGTGATATACATAAAAACAAGCACGGTCGCTGAACTGAAAAAAGTAATTTGTTCACATGTTCCTATTTTTATACATGCAATGTATTGGACATATATAGCATCGAATTCATGGCTAGGATGATTAATATCGTGATAAAGTTTTTTGTTTGACACGTTTTGGCAAACAAAATTGACTATAGATTAAATTCCAACTATTAAAAAAAGACAGTAAAAAAGATTAGAATCAGGTCATCTTATTTTTAGTTTTAATAGATCGGGTACGATTGTATTACGAAAATCTTAAGGTTGCAACTCAAATTTTAACTTAAATTAGGTCTCATGTCATCACATTCTCCCTCCTTCTCTAAAAAGGTCCGTCAGAATCGACTATCCGTAGTGTGTGTTGGATTTAAACTTTATTGGTTGCACACTGATTGATGATAGTTTTTTCACAGACATCGGTAGTAAATGTTGAAGGTCAAAAGGTGCAATGATTTGGGTAAATATCTGATAAGAACAAGCTTTGGGCTAACAATTGCGATGAGGGTTACGCACTTTGAGAACTCAGACAACGAAACCGGTGGTACAACTGGAAAAAAAATTGTCTCGAAGGAAATCGGTAATTTGTACCTTTGGCAAAGCCATCAGGCAGTCTGATTTTTTGCCTCCCGTAGGTTTGTATATCATTGATAGTACCAACAAGGAAGCGACATCGACGGTGAATCGGAAGCGAGATAAGTCGGCTACTAGACACACGACAGACGGGCGTTTAACCATACATGGCCTCGTCGGACCCTATTGAATTCTGAAAATTAAAAAAAATGAATCGCATCTTCAATTATCACATCTTTAGACCCCCTAAACCATTTTGCGACATTTTAAACTGAGTTCGTATCTATTTTCTTTTTTAAGTTTAACTTGCTGTAACTCTGCCCAAATACTGATAAATGATGTTCACTTTAGTTTTGAACTTCTGGTAGACTTCTCTACAAATACAATTGTCTGAACTACTGGGATTCTTGGAGGATTCTTGGAGGCCACCCATAACTCAGAGCAAAATTACATTCCTCTTTTTCCGTATTGCTTTGACTTGTCTGGTATGGATTTAATTATCTTTTTTCAAGCAAAAATAATAGCTAACTTGCTTCTCAATTTTGCTTGGAATTTTCGCTCAAATATCAATTTCATTTGTCTGATATATCAATGACAAAGGTCATCCATGTCTTTTTTGCAGGAAAAACTACAGCTAAAATTAGGTTGGTATTGGTTTCAAATAGAGATAATTAATTTATAAGTCAGCTATACACTTTTCATTTGCGATGTTAATGGTGAGTGTGTATTGGTATTGGCTTGTTCAGTTGTTGAAGTCTCCATTTGAGAGGATTTTGGGTCCTAATGCATCACGGCGGGTACATCCACTTTCCATTTCCCCCTTCCCCAAAACGCCCTTCCCTCTATTTTGAGAGAGAGAGAATGTGTGTATTCGAAATTGCTTCCAGTCTCAATTAAGAGGGTCCTAGGGGTAAAGGATGATCCTCATCGCGACAGATACTTACTACAGAGTGTGAACCAAGAATTAATGTCAGCGTCCTTCAATTGATTTCACAATCTTGAAAGCATTATTTGGAGAGTTTTTCTGTTTTTCATAGCTATCAGTTACCCCCAACCCCACCCAATAAAATTTCAACCCCTAAAAAGTCCCGATTGAACGGTTGGGCACATGTGATTTTTACACATAGTAATTTTGAAATCGAGGAGGGGGATAGTTAACAGGATCCATTTTTTGTTAAGCATGAAAGTGTTTTTTTCGTGTCAACAGGTCAAAATGCTTTTTTTCTTTACTTTTTCAAATTTATCGAAGAATGTTTCACCTAAATTAACTTTTGGCAATCTTTGTTCATACTTTTATTGTGGCTCAAACTGACTTCTTAATGCTTTGGAGACTCTGTTCACCAAATATTAGTTTTGCTTTTTATGAAAAGAACAAAAGGTTATGTTAGAGCGCAAAATGCGTCCATCATTTATTTAATGATCGATACCTTGGTACGTGTTAATATTAAAAAACAGTGAGAAAAAATTGGAGGAATGTTTGCTTAAAATTTAGTGAACTCTTATTCTCTCGAAACTCATCGGATACAAATTAGACAAGCGTAGGAGTTTTCTGTGACTGTATTCATTGAATATATACTCAGGGGAAAACAAAACTTGCGGGATGCAAAAATTGCACCCTCTTTCTCAAGATTAGTCAAATGAAAAAAGTACAGCAAACTGGTCAACTTTTAATAAACATCTCTGAGTTCTCACCCATCCATCTAGAATTTTGGCTCCGAAATTTCCGCTGAAAATGAATGGCGGTTGCCGCAAGGTTTAGGTCGACAAGAACTTAGCCGAAACAAATTGTTCAACGATTTGCCAATTCAACTTTATGATGACGATTGCTTTTCCTTTTTTAATTGAGAGCCGTTTTCAGTGACGATTAATGGTAATCAAGCAATTTTTGGACATTTTTTCTACTGCAAAAAAAAAGCTCTTGCTGCGAAACCATTTTCGTCGAGTCTTTTGACCGATCAAGACAATCGAAAGTTTTGAGCCTATTTGCTCGAAATTTTTGCTGTAGCCATCAATAGCCTGAAGAACCCTCCATTCCAGTTCTCTCTTGAAAAAATTCTGATCGTGGTGTTTTTGTAGTGTAGGCATTAAGAGGGGATCGGTTTACTGCATGCTTACCAAATGTTAACTGTACTTTTGCACAATTAGATAACCCCAACTAGAATTCATACTTTTTATTTTTTGCTCTCCTGAGATTAAATGTTCCTTGTCTGTTTATTTTTGAAACAGATGAAAAGTGGGATATCAATTTGATCTAATCTGAAAACATCGCATGCTAAAAAACAAATTGTCTTTTGAGTGCATAATGTTTTGAAAAAATTATTATTATTTTTTGGAATTCTGGAAAAATAAAAAGAAATATGTGTAATCAAACATGTGGTTTTTTAAAGAAACAAGGTTAATTGTTATATGATTTAGCTCTAATCCATTACAAAACCTAAAAGCTCACTTTTCCATTGAACTTTCGGAGTAATCGTGACGTAATCGGCCGTTCAAGACCACGGTTTTCCATTATCAGATTATCGTAAAATAGAAAAGACGGATTTTTCAAACCTGTAGACCCTTTTTGTTTGTTTGTTTTGCCATTAAGCTGCTATTTTTGGAGTCAAAAAGAAATAGTACATGCATGTATATAGTGGTGTTTATTTACTTGTCAACCCTTAACTTGCTAAGACTCAAGGTTCATATTTATATAAACTCATAAAAAAAAACATTTTCAAATTTCAAACAATTTCAAATTGTAAAAGCATAAAAACTGTATAGTTCAAATTATAGCGCACTCTACCCCAGCTAATTACAGCTCCCTCATAACTCAAGAATGACACTGTGCTACCATTTGAAAAAAATTGCTGACCGCTCGACTAGCATAAAGATCGACTAGCGTGAAAATTTAAGATATATAAAATTGAGAAATTAAGCTATAAACAAGCAAACGATACTCCCTCTCACATAAATTGTAATCAGTCACTTTCCGACTTAAAATGGCTTGAGCCGATCGATCACTGATCGGTGTGCAAATATTGGATATGAAATGAGTCAAAAATCTGTGATTTATAATGGATTTTTTGAGAATAGTTTTAATATTGACAATATTTGAATGTTGCGTTTCGAATTTCACGCCAACCAAAAAATTACAATTTTAAAAAGTTTCTGTTATACTCTGCTTCAATTTTAAAAATTGAGCTTTTGTCTCGATATGATACAGTGCAAAATATTGAATTTTCAGGCGCGCTTTTTTAACATTGGTAGAGCATGATTCATAAAGCACAACTTTTCTAATAGTTTTTTTTCACGAACAAATAAGATTGAGAAAATGAGGAAACTCAACAAACAATTCAGACGAATAAAATTTTAGTTTGTTGGGCCAAACTTTTTATCGTCATATTACTCTAAACTTCTAATTTTTTTTTTAAATTGTCATTTCTTCACAGAGCATTTTTTCACTTTTTGCTGTGTAATTCATTCAAAAAAACTATGCACAGCATTCAAAAAACCATGCTTTAGCATGTATGGGCCTCAATATGGAATGTTTCGCTGATTTGTTAGGTAAAGAACACTATTTAAATATTCTTCAAAAATTTAAAAGTTGGTTACGCTTTTTTTTGGCGAAGTTTTGAGTTTTTGAAGTTCAAATCAAATTGAATTTTAAACAAAGAAATATTGCTTGTTCGAAAAAAAATTAGGTTCTCCTCTTGAAAAAATGACAAATGGGGCAAAAAAAAACGTGATTATTTCACCTTCCAAAAAAAATTGTTTTCCGTCCGAATTGCTGAAAACAAAAGGCAAGCTTCGCGAAGTCTCCTTGTTACTATTTTAAAAATTACGAGAATAAAACTTAAACATTTTCAAAACATTTAGAAATTTTTTAGAGTTTTTTAATATTTGTTTTATTTTTTTGAGCTAGTTTTTGTTATAGTTGTATAATGCAGCGACTAATCACTGAGTTGCCATGATATATGAATGGCCCTTTCCTAAATAAATCTAGATTTTTTAACCAGCGGTATGTCGGTTATTTGTTGTGCATACATCCGAGAGTGATCGGATAGCTGATTTACAAGTTAACTCCTCTGATTTACTCCGCCAATCAATATAAGTTTGACGACTTTGAAAGCAAATTGCCAGAAACGAAAAAATTTATAAATTTAAATAAATTTAAGGTGATATTAATAAAGTAAAAATCGAAAGTTGAATTACATATTTTAAAATGTGTCGATCTTCTTCTGGGGATATCATTGTGTTCATTAAATCTTTTATAGCCGTCTCTTGGCTATGTTTAATGAATTTACTTCCCTCTTATTATTTGATACACATGAGAAAAAGTTGAATATTTTTCAAAACAATTTTGAATTTTTACAATTTTCTGAATTTCTCTTTTGTTTGTTAAGCTATTCGTTGTTATAGTTACTTAATGAAGTGACCAATCACAAAATATGGATTTTTTATATAACTTTAGTTTTTTAACCAGCGGTATATCGTCTATTTGTTCTGCGTACGTTCGAATGGTCAGACAGCTGATTTTGACAGATATGATTTTAAAGTACAGTGAGAATTGACCTCTGTTCCAAAAAGACATCTGAAAGTTTTTCGCAGTGTTTTGAAAAACTGGTTTGATTTCTACTAGTCTTCAGACTGAAGTAGTGTGGAGCATTGGTGCCGCAGTAAATTTTTAAACTAAACTTTGTTTTTAAAATAAAAATCAACTCTCCTTCAAAAAATCAAATAAAGTAGAGAAAAAAAATTTAAGTGGAGAGAAAATTTTTTACGCATTTAGTACGATTGTTTTCTTATTATGGGTCTCTTCTGTTATACGATTGATTAACAAAAATTTTTAAGCGATCGAGTTTTAAAAATATTTTTTGATCAGTGTTGACCCTTACAACCCCCCCCCCCCCCTTTATAATTGAAGTTCTTAACGTAAGATCTGGGGCTGTTAATTCAGCTCAAAATCTGTCAAACCCATTAGTTTCATTTTTAAACCGCAAATTCTACACGAAAAAGCATTGAAAGCAACTGTGAATATTAAAAATTGGCTGTTCAATTTCAAATAATGACTGTGAATGATGAAATCCAGTTTAAAAAAAACAGAAGGTCTTGTGACGAGCAGCCTTGTGTACTGGTTCGAAAAGTTTTGCAAAGAGGTGTTGTTTTGTTTTAGACAATCTGTCCATTTTTGATGACCAGCACATCATTTTGATCGGAGCCGACAGGCCGAAGCATTTGCTGACCGAAGATGCATCTCAAATGAAGTCATGGGGCACAGATTTCAAAGGTGAGAAAAATGATTCTTCTAATTTCAATGTCTGCCAAATGACTGGGTCGTAAAAGGTTTGTTATTCAAATGCTTTTTCAAAACAATCTCGGTTTTTTTGCTTGGTCATATTTGAATATATAACACTCTTCATTATATTTCTTGACGAATGAATTGTAATTAGTGTTTTCACTACTTCTTATTAATGTCAAAGCAATAAAAATTATTTTTTATGGCTAAATAGACATTTATAAAAGATGAATTGTGGATCAAATTTGAGCAAAAAACCACCTGCAGGAAAAACAGCGGAATCATTTAACAACTCTATTTTGAAGCATCTGCAGAACTTGTGATTAATGAAAAAAATGATGAGGATGAAAACTGTGCCGCCAAGAACTGATTATCTTCTGGGCTGTCCTAATTAAGTAAAAACACTTTTTTTGATCAAAAAAAATCTGCGCAGGAAAACTTTCTGTTTTATGCTACTAGATAATTTGCCTATTTTTTTGAGTTTTTTCTAGTTTTGGCCCAAATTTTATCTGCTTTGATCCTTTGATATTTCAATCACCATGTTTGAATATGATTGGTTGAAATTAATTGGATATGAAAACAAATTTAAAACATTGTTTCAAATATAATAGCTCATTTAACTAATTTTTTTATAAATTAATTTAGGGCCACATAACAAAAAAGACGTAATTTTAAGGCAAGGGCAGATTCGGGGGGGGGGGGGGGGCTGTGGTGGACGCTTTTGATACTTATTTGTAGAACTATCTTAAATTTGAACAAAAAAAAGACTTTATAGTGCTTTTGGAAATCTTATAAAATGAGTTTGGTACACCTAAAAAGAAAACTTTCGAAATTTTTCTCCTTAAAAAGTTCTAGATCATGCAGCGCTAATTTTAGGTGAAATTATGGGTGTGTACTTCAACAAGATGAAGCTTCTCAACGCAGCCGCTTATGGTTTTAAACAAGTTCAATTCAGCGGTGATGTTACCGTGCGTCCCGAAACAGTGCCCCAAATCCGCTACGACCGACCGGTGCACAACGACATCGGGGCCTACTTCTTCGGGGAAGGGACTTTGGGAGCTGGGGGAGGGGCTGGGACTGATATTATTTGGCCAGATGACCACTCGTTGTGCATGGAGACTTATGGCTACGACACACAGATTTGCTCCGGCATCACAAGTGGTAAATGTAAATTTTATGATTGTGCAATTAAACCAAATCTTAAAAAAACGAAGATAAGCTTAATGCGCTTCTTTGCCCAAGTTTCATAATGAGTTCAGCAATTTATTTATATCTCAATAGAATATCAATACAATATCAATACAATATCTCAGTAGAATAAAAAATGGGTTTGAATTTTTTGCTTCCGTTCTGAAATCTTCTCCCAACATCTAAAAAAGGGCGCGTTGGAACTGTTTAAACTCTGATTCTTGGGAATAAGTTTCGAAATTTTAAAGACTGTGTTGAATCAGTTTCGAACGTTTGAATTAACAGCTGCGAATTCATTCTAGGGGGTGGATATCCCAAAAAAGATGAAATCATAACCTTGGATGAATGGCAAGGCTACCCTGATATCAACAAGCCATACGATAGCCAAGATCCTTACAAAGATCGAGACAGGTACAAAGACAAGTACGATGAGATCACGACACTAAACGACGACGGAAACCCGAGACGGCCCGGCGAGGGTGGGGGGTTTCTGGACCCGAACTTGCAGAAAGGTCCCTTGAAACCAAAGAGCACCGAAGAAGCGCTGAGTTTACGAATGTCGACTACAATTTCTGGAATCATAATCGGAATTGTCGCTTCGATAGTCATCGCAATTTTGATACTAATATTCGCGGTTTACAAGTACAAAAACCGGACAGAAATAGCGCAACACGCTATCAGGATTGACACAATTAAGATTGACCCTATGAACAGTAGCAATACTAGTAACACGTATAATAACAACAACAATCATAACACTTACGATAGCTCCAGGACTAATAACTCACCCTACAGTATGATCACCCCCGGTAAAAGTATCATGAAAAACGGAGGGGGTGCTGCTTCTACTGCTATCAACACCCTCACCCGTGCATCCATAGACCACCAACTGCACGACAGTAAGGAGTGGTACGTGTGAAAACGAAGAAAAAAAATATATTTTCGAAAAATCAAATATTAATTATAAAAAAAATGATTTTTTTTCTGCGCAATTTTCTCACGTGCCAAATCTTCCTGCCTGTAGATGTTTAAATCATGGCTCTTTTAAAACACCCTCCCTGCTTTGATCATATTCGATAACATTCCAAATTCTGTCGAGCTTCGTTTTACTTTTATGATTAAACGTAAGAAAAAATAATAAAAAAGTAAGAAAAAAAAACGAAAATTTGAGATATTTGTCTAATCATGCAATGATTGATTGAGGAAAGCGGGTTGAATTTATTATGCAAACGCAGATTGAATTTAGTTTGCTTGGGGCCATAAGTAAGTTCTATAAAAATAACAAAGGAAAAGAGCCATTAACTTAAATGCTAATTTTGCAAACTCAATTTAGATTTAATTCATGAATCAAAACTCACATTGGTTTGAACTGCAAATTCAACTCAATTACCAATGATAATGTTAGTTTTGATCAATTTGCGCAATTTTTTAATTTTCAATGTTTAGTGCCTTTAATGTTTTATTGTTTCTTTTCAATTTTCAATGAAATGTTTATATTTTTTCAAATAACAAAAAAAAAGCTGTGATTAAGTTTGATATATCAACGCACTTTTTCAGAGATGAAGCCTTCCGCGTTAGGTAAGATTTTAGAGAGCGAGCGATTAATATGTTATGATTGACTCTTCATAACAAGTGCTTTATCAAAGAAGATGTTCTTCATCCTCCCCCCTAATGGATCTTTAGGCTAACTTTTGGGTCCTACTTAGGATCAACTGTACAATATCTCCTCAAATTCAATCAGGCGGACCAATTATGTTTTTTAGGAAATAATTTTGATTATAGCTTACATTTATACAAAATAAACAGTTTTTTAATAGAGAAAACTGATTGAAGAAAAACATCAACTGAGGTAATAAACAACATTGAATTTGAATTTAATTTGGAAGCTACATACAGAAAGCAAAAGCTAAATTATACGCCTGGAGGGAAAACTTAATTAGCAGTACTGCTTATCGAGTAGGATATTCTGGAAAAGAAAAGAAGAGAGTCAATTAACGAAAATAACGGAATATTTGTGCTCGAGGTGTTTTTTTTTCGTCGGACAAATTTTGACTTTTTAGTCACTTTACGAAATTTTTTACATCAATCACAGTATATTGCTGTCCTGAGCTTAATTTTGAAAAGATATTTTACCTGTGATCATTTTTCGTAAACTTATCGGGGTTTAATTAATGCCATTTTGGCCAATTTGGGACAATTAACGCGCGATATATTTCGCGCTATTAGCATGTACGTGGAGATTCAATCTGCTTTAGAAATGGTTGCAAAATGGTTGAAGGAAATTTACTTGCCTTAATTGATTTGTTACTAAGAGCGTAATCGATCAATTTGTGTTTTATATGGCGTGAGAGGATGACTTTCACAAAAAAAATCTCAAATTTACGAAAAACAATTTGTTTCATTTCGCTGCATTTTTTCAGGTTTTTACTGCTCCATAGACCTTAAAGGGCAGTCGGAACATTCAGGGATTCGACCTGATACGAGCAGTCTTGTTTTGATTATGAATAACTTTGTTGGATCAACCGTACAACCCCCCCCCCCCCCCCCCCCCACCCCCTCATCGATTTAGGTGGGAGAAAATATGAATTTTTTCATAAACTAGCATTGATTATAGCCTCGAATCGCTCAAAAATGACCGTATTACGTATAAAATTGAAATAAAACATCAATTTGTGTAATTAACAGCATACAAATGTAATCCCGCTTTCAAAAACATTTCTTTGCGCGTTTGTATGAAATGCATATTTTAAACAGAAATTTTTTCAGGCTTGAGGAGGGCATTAACAGCATACAAATGTAATCCCTCTTAAAAAAAAAAACATTTTTATTTGCGCGTTTGTATAAATGCATATTTTGAACGGAATTATTGTCTTGCTTGAGGAGGGCATTATACTGTAGGCCATTTAGGGGTGCTAAGAGATTGTACGGTTGATCCATTTGGTTTCTTTTAACGAAGTTGGCTGCAGCTAAAAAATAGTTCGTTAAAGTTACGATTGTCTTTCAAGTAGGTTATAAAAAACCACGCGGAAATATGGTTACTTTCTTTTGCCTGCCATTTGGGCACATAAAGTATTTTAAGAGCTTTGCAGGGGTCCTATTAAAGGATTGGAAGCTAGCGAAGAAAAGTACTAACAGTATTCAGCCAGAGAATTTGACTAAAAAAGAGCCAAAACTATCCGAAATATTTGACAATTAACTGTTACCCGGGTAGAACGGTTTCTTTTCATAAAAATTTTACAGCCGTTACCAAAATTACGCTCCAAGAATGATACAAGATAAAAATTTTTCATAATAAAACTTTAAGATGATGATTTTTCTTTCAAAAAGTTGAGAGACAAAAACTTTTCCTACAAAAATTTGAACATGTTATTTTTCACTACCTTATTGAAAATCTCACGACCAACACAAAAGTTTTCCGCTCTCCCAGAGTACAACAACAGAAACTCATTACGTAAATTTAAACGGAGTTTATTGAAATAACCACTGATTTCTTAGAATTAGCTTTTTGCTTATTTCTCGAATTTTTGTCAATATACAGCTGCACTTCACATACAAACGTCGGGAGCTATATGGTTTGATTCGTCAAAGTTATTTCAAAGTCTTTAAAAAACGGACAACTTAATACGTATAACTAAGAGTTTTCTCGAAAAAAAACATCAAAAGATTTGTTTTGGAATTTTTTGTTCAAAACGTATGCATTTTAACAACCATCTAAATTTTTTATACATGCAAAAAAATCCAAACTTATTTTTATTCGAAATAACGGTATGAAAACACATTCATTTTTTGACTAATTTGGGAAACAGTTGCTTTTTTACAAAATTTCTATCAAAATCCCTACAAATTTTTATAAAAGTTCTAAGACAAGGGAGTTTTTTTGTAGGATATTTATCGCGGGCAATGAATGAACTGAACTTTCGGTTACTCAAAATGTCCGGGTTGGGGTCCCACCATTGATTGGTGGTTAGCTAACAGAATTTCTTATTGCTTAACCTGCGATATCTCAAAATCTTCTCAATAATGATGCAGCGAAAAACAGATTCAAAATTTAAAAAAATTTCCTCCAAACCCTTCAATAAATGAGTTCTTGCTACAGACACACAAAAACTATGAAGTCATCGCAAAATTACTAATAGAAAATTGAATAGTAGTGACGGAGTGCAATACATACTACGTATTTTTAAAAGTTCGACTAAGCCAGACTTTTTCATGTATAGTGCTGAATACTCAAAGTCAAAATGATTGATAATTCATCACTACCTCATCGCTAAAATTTGTTCTGCAATTTTTCAGGGCTAATTTGAGGATATTCTACACTTTTGAGGATGTAGTGGTAAAAATTGATTCTAGCATTATCATAAGCCTCTGCCTCATAAGAAATGACATCAAAGCATTTACGGTAGAGAAACGACGTCATTCACGATTTTACCATCGTATTGATTTTTTATTTCATTGGTGTCTTTTGAAGTTCGCCGAACGAATCCTGAAATATTATTTCGAAGATTTCTGGGAAAATTGAAGCTCTGGTTAAAAATATTGGCAAGGGTTTTTGAATGTGGTTCTGTTTTATAATTAGAAAAAATCAGTAAAAAAGATGTCAGGATCAAAACTTCCTGTTAGTTGTAAAACGATCTTCTACCGCTTGATTTGTACTTTTACTTCAAATAATAAACTTTGAAAATCAACTTTTCAAATCAATTTGAAAATAACTCAACAATAAAACCAAACTGTTAAAAGTTCATCGATTTGATCTGAAACCACAATAAAAAAAATTTTTCAAAAAAGTTCGTTTCTAGGTGTGCTAATTGTTGAGACACACAGACCAAATAGGTACTCCTGCTAGACTATACATTATCTTTATGCAATGTATCAAATTGTGTGAGAAGCCTGCGAAAAAAAAAATCAAACAATTGAATACAAACTGACGCAAACTTTTTCACACCTACGCGTTACGCTTTTTGTTTTTGGTTGAGAAATATAAAACCCTTCAACTTGGTATCAAAATCTGGAAAAAGTCGATTGTCATTTCGGCTCTTTTACGAGCACTGGATAAGCGTAAATTGTGTTTTTAGGTCACAGGAATCCAGAGACAAAGTCTCTAAACTTGTTCAAAAGAAATTTCCGTGGATTCCGCACTCAAATACAAAAAACTTAAATTTTACACGCACAGTAGTTCTGTCAAAGGTTCTGCAACAAGCGAATACAAATTGTTGTAGGAGATTCCGCAAAAAAAAGCGGAATCCACAAAATGTAAGCGGATTCAGCAAATCTAAATTCTTTACGCAAAATCTGCTTACATTTTGTGGACACGGCTTCGAATTTGAGGATTCCGCTCTAAATTGCGAGTTCCTCGATAGCATAATTACACTATGCACATGTATTACAATTTGATTGTAAAATCCGCAAATTGTTCCGGATTCCGTATAATATGTTGCGAATTCCGCAAATTTTGTCGCGGATTCCGTATAATATGTTGCGAATTCCGCAAATTTTGTCGCGGATTCCGAAAATTTGCCTGATGATGGAGCAATTTTGACTGACAGCGCTTTAGCTTCTTGTTCGTGGACTTCCAAGCAGCAAAGCATATCAAAGAAAAGTATCAATGTTGCGAATTACACAGCAAATCTGCTATATTGCATGAACTGCTACTTTGCATGAATACCAAAATCTTAAAATCCCTTGAAAAAGAACATCGCTACTCCAGCCGAGGTTCTGGTTTTGTGTCAGAGTCTGACAGTCAGAAATTTCCTATTAGATTCTGCATTACGTATTCTGCCAAACGGTGTATTCTGTTAATGTTTCCTGAATGCTTCAAACCACCAGCTTTTTTGTGTTTCTCCGCAACTAGAATTTTAATACAGATATTTTAATGCTTAATTGCATTTTATCATCCATTATAATTCAATCAAACATAAATTGTAACATACAGAACTGCAAACGTTATTTTTTAAGTTATTGAGACTACATATTTGTTTTTTACATGAGAATGTTTTCATTGATTTTTAAAATATGTAACTAACTTTTCATTTCCACTTGTAGCACTTTTTAT